TTTCAGATCTCGACGGCGGAGCGACAGGTGTTCGACTTCATGGGCTACATGTGGCTCCCCATCATCGCCAACTTCTTCAACTTCATCTTCGTCATATTTGGCTTCTTTGGTGGCTACCAGTACAAGACAAAATATATCATAATTGTGAGTGTGGCTTCATTGGCCACTGCTGCTTAAAATGCAGTGCTTTCTTTTTGTTTTAGTTATCGTTCCTCGAGATTTATATTATATTTGATATTGTTCATATTACAAAGAGTTGCATTAACCCATTCGCCCTATGTGGCAAGAATACATGCTATGCCCACTGTAATGCAAGTTTATTTATTGTATTTACACATAGATGGCTCTACACGTTCTTAATAACCAAATAGCCAGTTGTTAGAACTACCTTTCTTACCTGTTTACCCATGTCTTTCACATTAGGAAAGGGTCTTTTGTATCATTTCATTGTCTAAAATATTTTAATGACAGTTTAATAATCATAACATGAATAACAATAACAGCAGTATCGATAACAATAGTATTAATAAGAAAAACATTTTCCCGCCAATTCAAGGAATTGGAAAATCAGGATCGGTAACTAGGGCCTACTGATAGACTCCTTGCCGGCTGAGCACATGTGGAGCCATCTGTATGTAACAGAATTCACCAAAAACTACAGGGGACAGTATATAAAAAGGATAAATAAAAAGTTAAATCAGATCAAATCATTGGTTATAATAAAAAGCTATTAGTATATAATGAAAATAAAAAGAACACAGATATATGAACAATATGAAAATTAAGAAATATTACAAACTCGACATAAATATAAAAGAGGTAGATAAATGGGTCTGTATGCTAGGTATTTTTTTTATTATTTTTATTTTTTTGAATGGAGGAAAGAAGATCGCTAACCACTATAATACTCGTAGTCCTGTGTCTTGTTAAATAATCAGGAAAAAATAGAAATTGTTCCTTGTAATTATCCCTTCTTTTTACATACTTGGAAATAACTTTCAACTTTCTAAACCCATGTCTCTCTTGCAGTACCTAGTATGGCTACTAGTATGGATAGGGTGGAATGTGTTTGTAATCTGCTTCTATCTCAACGTTGGGATTCTGGACAACAGAAAAGACTGGCTGAACTTCGGAACGGGCAGTGCTTCCTGGTGGGAGGTGAGTCCTACGGCAAGTTCAGGGGGTGATAAGGATGAAGATAATGGTAATGGTGGTTATAAGAAGTAATGATAATGGTGAGGGTAATGATGATGATGACTTGTGATGTTCGTTTTTGGAAGATTCCTATGTTTTATGTTTTATCTTATATGTTGGAGAGCTCTTCATGTTTTTTTTTTCATAAATAATAATATAATGTATATTTGTATTTAAAGACTTTTAAATTGATTAATATGTATGCTGTTATTGCAGGTTAATGGAATAGGATGTCGAGCTGTTTATTCAACAAATCTCACAGATGTAGATATTCTACGACCGATTAGACCTCTACAAGTTAATGACTGCTTAGTGGACTACATCTATGTTGAAACTATACATGCTGGTGTTCAGTGTGCTTTTGCGGTAAGTATTTTATGTTCAGAGTGTTTAAAGAGCATGATTTTTATGTTCTTTTATATAGAACATATCAGCAAAGAAAGTGCTTATATACTGTTCATATGTTATATATCTAATCCTCTTGAGTCCTCTGATCATCTTTTTATACAAGATCAGTACAAGTGAACATCAATTTTTTTTTTATCACCACTGATCAGGAAATACTAATAGTTGATATGATCTTATTCCAGGCCTTGGGATTGTGTGTGTCAATTTATCTCCTGAAAGTTTTTTCTGAGGAAGATGACAGCTGTAAGTATATATAGTATGTAGAATGTGATTCATAATGATTCTTCTTTTTGTTATACACTAGAATGTATTTTCCCAGTAATTTCACCAAAGTCTGATCTTTTAAAAACAGCATTGTCTTCTCTGTTCATGGCCCAGTCTTTATAAATATCAGAAAGAAGAGAGAAATATACAGAGATTAGATTTTAGCCTGAAATAGAATTGAAGCAACTCTCACATGTCCCAAAGCCAAAGGTCATCGAGTATGTGTTGAATGTACAAGAATTGTTCCATGGTGTTGCAGTTGACTTTATAGGCGGGTTTGAGCAGGGCGTGACGGGTAACACATCTGTCCAGCCCACATATGCCAGGTATTACTGCCTTTGCGGGGTGCCTGTCTCCCTCGGTTCCCCTCTGTCTCATGGGCCAAAAGTCCTGCATGGCCGTCTACACCACCACCACCACCACCACCATGTTCATCACCATCATCCGAACCCCCTCCCATCTGCTGGAACCTCCTCACTCTATTTCCCACAGTCAGCTGACTTGTGGGCGTACAAGCTCCCTTGCAGTGCGCTCAAGTAATCATGCTCATGTGCTAATTTTGATTTTTCATATTTATATACATATAACTTTTTTAATGATCTTATCTTCTTTTTTGATGTAGCTTAGATATGATGTGCTGTTGAGTGGTTTTGATATTGTTTTGCTGCTGTAAGTCCTGGCTTTGTGCATCCTGGCAGAGTGTTGTGGTGACTTTGAAGGTTCCTTATGCGACTTTTTTTTGTGTACATTGAGAGAGAAGATTTGATAATATAGCCATTAGTGTGTTCTTTGCTCCTGACTTAGAAATCATGACTGTCTTTTTTTTCCGTAACTGGTGTAACTTTGATGTGTTTTTCTCATGTACTAATGATATAGCTAGAGAAGGGCTGAAGAATCTGGTACTGATACATGTCAGAAAAGTTATTTATTTGAGACAGTTTAATGGGAAGAAGGCTTTTCTTGTCTAATAAGTGATATTTACTAAATTATGCAGAGGTTCGTAAGTCATTAAGAAGACCTCTCTTAAACTGACAACAGGGGAGGGGGTTGGGGCTGAAAGTTATTAGCCTTGGAAAAAGAATCTCCTTGTGGTGTGAAAATTTATTGATCCATGCTGAAAAAAGAGAGAGAATGGTATATACATCTGATTCAGTGTTGATAAGTACAGAAAAATTAGTGCCTCTTTGAAGCAGCATCTGGACCAATGAAACACACACTGAAGAAGATTATTTTGCACCAAAGACACTCCTCTCTCTTACCCTTTACTCCACCTATAAATCACAGCTTTAGGCACTTCACAAATGTAGTTAAAAGAATGCTATGCTTGTCTGATAGGGCAGTGTTATTGTTTGGTTGCTGTTTTCTTTAGTTTGTTCATTTTTTAAAAATTTAGTTAAAAGTATTTACATAGATTTCCAATGGCAAATTTTGGCTTACATGTGATTTTGCCTCTTGATTTTGTATCTTTTAATTTCTTTTACTTTCAGTTTTTGATCATGTAAGATTATGTAAGTATTAGTAATGGAGTAATTGTTTAATTTTGATCATCAGACCCATTACTGTTACTTTTTTTTCTTCTATAATATGAAAATATGCAAGAGGCTAGTTTATATAATTCACAGAATCTAAAGTAATATTATCCCCATCCCTTGAACAAAAGAGAAAGAGAGAGGGAAGCAGAGAGATGTAGGAACACAGAAATGTCAAGTTGAAAAATATTTTCCTGCTGTATTGTGATGTTCACTTACACTTTTCCAAAATGTACATTATCATTACACAAAGTTCAACTGTTTATAAGTATGTGGGATTAAGTAATATCTCTTCATGTTGTTGTATTATTAAATGTACATTTGTGTGTGAGCCATTTTCTTTTGTAGGTTGCTAATAAACTTTCCTTCTTTTCTAGGCAAAGCTAAGAGCAGACCGACTTCAATTTATTCAGTTGAATATAGGTAAGACATTTCACATTACAGAAAATGGTATACATTACATAAAAACATCTTCTAGAGTGGATATTGGTTCTTCCTTCCAAGACTTCTGATTAGATAATATTTATTTCTTTTTATATAGAACATATCAGCAAAGAAAGTGCTTATATACTGTTCATATTTTATATATCTAATCCTCTGGAGTCCTCTGATCATCTTTTTATACAAGATCAGTACAATTGAACATCAATTTTTTTTTATCATCACTGATCAGGAAATACTAATAGTTGATATGATCTTATTCCAGGCCTTGGGATTGTGTGTGTCAATTTATCTCCTGAAAGTTTTTTCTGAGGAAGATGACAGCTGTAAGTATATATAGTATATAGAATGTGATTCATAATGATTCTTCTTTTTGTTATACACTAGAATGTATTTTCCCAGTAATTTCACCAAAGTCTGATCTTTTAAAAACAGCATTGTCTTCTCTGTTCATGGCCCAGTCTTTATAAATATCAGAAAGAAGAGAGAAATATACAGAGATTAGATTTTAGCCTGAAATAGAATTGAAGCAACTCTCACATGTCCCAAAGCCAAAGGTCATCGAGTATGTGTTGAATGTACAAGAATTGTTCCATGGTGTTGCAGTTGACTTTATAGGCGGGTTTGAGCAGGGCGTGACGGGTAACACATCTGTCCAGCCCACATATGCCAGGTATTACTGCCTTTGCGGGGTGCCTGTCTCCCTCGGTTCCCCTCTGTCTCATGGGCCAAAAGTCCTGCATGGCCGTCTACACCACCACCACCACCACCACCATGTTCATCACCATCATCCGAACCCCCTCCCATCTGCTGGAACCTCCTCACTCTATTTCCCACAGTCAGCTGACTTGTGGGCGTACAAGCTCCCTTGCAGTGCGCTCAAGTAATCATGCTCATGTGCTAATTTTGATTTTTCATATTTATATACATATAACTTTTTTAATGATCTTATCTTCTTTTTTGATGTAGCTTAGATATGATGTGCTGTTGAGTGGTTTTGATATTGTTTTGCTGCTGTAAGTCCTGGCTTTGTGCATCCTGGCAGAGTGTTGTGGTGACTTTGAAGGTTCCTTATGCGACTTTTTTTGTGTACATTGAGAGAGAAGATTTGATAATATAGCCATTAGTGTGTTCTTTGCTCCTGACTTAGAAATCATGACTGTCTTTTTTTTCCGTAACTGGTGTAACTTTGATGTGTTTTTCTCATGTACTAATGATATAGCTAGAGAAGGGCTGAAGAATCTGGTACTGATACATGTCAGAAAAGTTATTTATTTGAGACAGTTTAATGGGAAGAAGGCTTTTCTTGTCTAATAAGTGATATTTACTAAATTATGCAGAGGTTCGTAAGTCATTAAGAAGACCTCTCTTAAACTGACAACAGGGGAGGGGGTTGGGGCTGAAAGTTATTAGCCTTGGAAAAAGAATCTCCTTGTGGTGTGAAAATTTATTGATCCATGCTGAAAAAAGAGAGAGAATGGTATATACATCTGATTCAGTGTTGATAAGTAGCAGAAAAATTAGTGCCTCTTTGAAGCAGCATCTGGACCAATGAAACACACACTGAAGAAGATTATTTTGCACCAAAGACACTCCTCTCTCTTACCCTTTACTCCACCTATAAATCACAGCTTTAGGCACTTCACAAATGTAGTTAAAAGAATGCTATGCTTGTCTGATAGGGCAGTGTTATTGTTTGGTTGCTGTTTTCTTTAGTTTGTTCATTTTTTAAAAATTTAGTTAAAAGTATTTACATAGATTTCCAATGGCAAATTTTGGCTTACATGTGATTTTGCCTCTTGATTTTGTATCTTTTAATTTCTTTTACTTTCAGTTTTTGATCATGTAAGATTATGTAAGTATTAGTAATGGAGTAATTGTTTAATTTTGATCATCAGACCCATTACTGTTACTTTTTTTTCTATAATATGAAAATATGCAAGAGGCTAGTTTATATAATTCACAGAATCTAAAGTAATATTATCCCCATCCCTTGAACAAAAGAGAAAGAGAGAGGGAAGCAGAGAGATGTAGGAACACAGAAATGTCAAGTTGAAAAATATTTTCCTGCTGTATTGTGATGTTCACTTACACTTTTCCAAAATGTACATTATCATTACACAAAGTTCAACTGTTTATAAGTATGTGGGATTAAGTAATATCTCTTCATGTTGTTGTATTATTAAATGTACATTTGTGTGTGAGCCATTTTCTTTTGTAGGTTGCTAATAAACTTTCCTTCTTTTCTAGGCAAAGCTAAGAGCAGACCGACTTCAATTTATTCAGTTGAATATAGGTAAGACATTTCACATTACAGAAAATGGTATACATTACATAAAACATCTTCTAGAGTGGATATTGGTTCTTCCTTCCAAGACTTCTGATTAGATAATATTTATTCTTGAAAGATTTATCCCAAAGTAATGCTGGTAGGGGGCATTCCCTTTCATACTATGTGTTTTGTGAAAGTAATGTCTTATTTTTTATTTTGTCTAAATCATGTTTCTGTATGTATTAGCAGTCTTTTGATTTTTTTCTCTTACATATGTGGCTCGAATTGAATTATTGTCACTGACATATTTGATTTTCCTTGCAGCCCCCAGCGTGAAGGTAGTGAGTCTCCAGACTTAGGGCTTGAAGAGGGCCCATATCAACAACCTATGACTCCCCGACGAGTCAAACGCCAGAGCCGACATCGAGCTTCTGGCCGGTCGCAAACTCGCAGCACACAAGGAAGGGGATCCCAGCGCTCCCGAAGACATCAGTATCTTAACCCTGTGAATAGACTCATGGACAAGGCCAATGAGTCTTCCACAAGCACTGACTCATATCACCCAGCGCCTGGTTCAAGGCCTCCCACCGGGGGACGGCAGGGTCATTCCAACCCTATGTACGTCCACTCCCGGCCAAATTCCACTTACTCTATGAACAGTTCACCCCCAGGCCAAGACCCAATGGAACGGCCACCCTCTGTCCATTCCTCATATTCCAATTACCATGGTCAACGGCCCTCGATTAACCCCAATCCATATGGCAGGCCACCTGTTCAGACATTGACAGCTGGCATGATTGGTGGATCTAATCACCACCGATCCAATCGGTCCATGATGCAGCCAAATGGACATGTAAATCCTACTGGAACTTTAGGCTCCATTCGTAGTTCTGTTTACAGTAGCACTGGTACAATGAGATCTGAGAGGGAAAAACCTCCACCATACATGTTTGGTGTCAACTCAGAGACTGTCATATGACTAGACAGGACCGGACAGCAGTGAAGTCGTCCAAGTCATTGCCTGCTGTCCAGTGTGGCACACAGTAGCTTTAGTTCACTTTGTGCCTTTTGGTCTTTTCTACTGCAGTGCTAAGGTGCACTTTTATCCTTTTTTTTTTCTCTCTGAAACATTTGTTTATCATATGTGATGAATGTCCTCATTCCTTGTTTCAATATTCTTTTCTTGTTTTTTAGAATGTGAGTCTATGTCTGTGATGATCCAAAGATATATGTAATGTGAATATATTCAGTTTCTGTATTTGCTCACATGCATACCATAGGACTGTGTTCATAATCCTAGCTTCTTGCACAACCTCTTAATTTCTCAGTACTTTTACTTTTAGATACCAAACGCTTTGAAATGTCTTCTACAATGCACAGTAGCTTAAGGTTGTACCTCTAACGCGTTAACCTTTAAGGTGGGTATGAGCCACTGCCGTCTTTACAGTCACTGCCAGCAGTATATAAGACAATATTGTGTCTAAGTCACATTATTAAGTACTAATGATGTTTGGCTCACTGTGATAGAAGCCAGCATTTTTGTACTTGATTACATTTATTACTCTGTGGAATTGAAATACTGTGTAGACATTACTTTTAGTGTAAAATGTGCATGTGATATCCATAAGAATTGGAAAACTATTTATTGACTTTGTCTTGTGATGATTGTAATATATTTTATGTTTTGATTTTAAACTCATTTTCTTCATATCTTTACTCAGAAACAGTAGCAGTATTTTCAACTTTACTTCCTCCATAGATTTGGAGGAATATGAGGGGAAAGTAATGATAATACCTTTAAATTAAATGTAAATTATTTAAGACTTACAAAAGTGTAATGCTTTCCCAGGCTTCAACAGACATTTTGGGTTTCTTTTAATATTTTTGAATGGTAATTTACAAGAACAGTTGTTTTCCTATATAATCCTGCAGTGGTTATCTAAATTGCCTGGACTACAAGTTATGACATCTGGCTTAGTTGTCAGGAAATGATGATGATCAGATAACTTCCAGAGGGAATTATTTGCCATGATTTATAATATATGTATACACACCTCACTAGAGCATTACATGTATGCAGACTCACATAAGCACATCTAGAGGATACATGACTTCACTCTGAATTAGTGTAGGAAGCACATATTTTCTTTTGTAACAATCATTTGAAGAAATACATTTTGTCTCTTAAGTATTTTGTGTGTAAAAATTGGCTGCATTTATAATCAAAGTTTGGTTTTGATATCAGATGCCAAATGATTTATGATCTCAAGTGAACCAGAAAGTTTAATAATTGATGCAAACTTTTAAAAATCTTTCTGGCTTTTTCTCCCACTGCTGAAAGTAATGTTTCAGCTATGCACGTGTAAATTGTAAATATATGTAAATGTGTACAGTTCTGAATATTTTATGTAAATAAAGCCACTTTTCAGTGTATCTCTATGGAATATTGAATGATAAAAATGACACAAAATAAAATAAATGATTTTTATTTATAATTCTCCAATTACTTCCTTATTATTTTCTTGGGTTTCTTACGTCGCACATTCATGGCAAGTGGAATTGCCTTGTCCCTGTTCTTGTTCTTCACATTAGTTACTTCATAGAAATTACTGCCAACCTTCTTCCTCTTATTTTCTCTGTCCAGTCTTCTCCTCTGTTTTGAGGTCATCTGGGAAATGTGAAGGACTCGGCCTTCATCATCCACATGCTTCTTCTTCCTCCTCAGTTTCCTGTTGCTTGTTACTGTGAAGGAGCCAGCAGGAGTGCTGACTTTCTCTTCATCATCACTAGAGAGCTGGTCCACACCCTCCATTTCTTCCTCTTCCTCTTCATTGGAGTCCATGCTCTTTTCTTCTCCATCTGGAAGGCTTTCACTTTCACTCTTCACTTCAACATCTTCAGCAGGTGCATCACTGGCCTTTTGATTTCCCTTATCTTCAATGGTTTCAACTGTATCTGAAGCAATCTCAACTTTGATAACATCTCCTTCCTCTCCTTCTCCCTCCTCTCCTTCTTCTTCCTCAATATCCTTATCATAATCTGGGATCTCCATGTTATTATCTTCTATGTCTTTCACATCATCACCTGAGTATTCAAGAGTAAGCTTAATTTTGCTGAAGTCCTGAAGAACAACAGGAGCATTTGCTAACTCTGCAGCCTTCTCTGCTGCCTCCTCCTCTTCCTGTCTCTGTTTGACCATCTTGGCCATTTCGATATTTTCTTCTTCTTTGAGCTTGGTGAATGTGGATGAATCGTGGCCAGGAGGGGGTACAAAGTATGGAATTTTGCCGCGCTGCCAGTCATTCAGCATCATTTTGGACACTGTGTTTATGTCAGGCTCGCCCCCCTTTAAGAGTTTCCCGCATCGTCTTGCCACCTTCTCAACGAGCTCTTCTGGAGTGGCCCATTCATGAATCTGAAATAAGATTTGCTATCAATTAGGCAGGTGTAATATTGGTCAATTACATCATATTATTAAAATTGAAGCCCACCTGTATATTACCGAGTGGTAATGCATAATCTTAAATTTCTTTTTCTTCCCATAGACATATCCAAATAAAGACTGGCAAGATTTTAAGAATTGGCTTTTATGTTACAAGGCAAGACTTTGATCTATATCTGATTTTTCATTAAGGACCATGAAGGTAATTTAATACAAAAAAAATATCTTGTATCTTAAACTTACTCACTTTATCAATTTCTCTCAGTCATACCCTCTGCAGATAACCAATTAACTTAACACTGGTTCTGAAACACATAATACTTTACTCACATCATAAGTCTTAGAGATGTATTCCCTCTTTACTCGTTCTAATATAGGAGGAATGTAATCAAATGGATCCTTCAGGTATTCAGTTCTGACAGTTCCTTTCAACACCATGTCAGTTGGAGTCTCGTGGGAAGGAGGAACCACACCAGGACAGTCAACGAGGTATATTTTGCGCATCAGTGAAATATACTGCCACACTTTTGTTTCTCCAGCAATGGGAGCAACATTGCAAACCTGAAATTAAAAAGAAAAGGAAAAATTTCAAACTCATTTTCTCAGATTAAAACAAGTGAAAAAGAAAAATGAAGTGTATTGTCACTTCTATATCATCCTCAGTATCAATTATCACTCAAAAGAAAAACAAAATGAAAAGAAAAAGTACCTTCCTAGCCTTCAGTGAATTAATGATTGAGCTTTTCCCTACGTTGGGATAACCAATCATGCCTACGCTGATCTGCTTCTTGTCCTCGTGCAGCTTTCCAAACTGTCGCAGGAGGTTGATGAGGGCGCCCTTGCCGTAAGGATTTGTGATGGAGGAGTGGAAGGCTAGGGATGGGTACTCCTGGCTGAGGATGGCTACCCACTTCTGGGTTACCCATACTGGTACCAAGTCAACCTTTACATTATGGGGAAAAAAGAAAACTCAAATTTACATGCTTCCTTTTCTTTTGAAGACCTATTTGTAGCCTAATTTGGGCAGAGTATGAGATAAAAGGGGCTTCCTGATTTATCTATAACTTACGATCGGCAGACTTTACCATCTTCTCTCTACATCTCCCTGTTCCAACTATGAATATGATCATACATAATGGCTTCCTTTTTTGACCAGAAGCCATTTAAATGTAGCCTATTCTCTCTTATCTGGGAGAAATAGTACCTAAAACTCAAGTTTTTATTAAACCCTTAAGAAATGCTGAGCCTGTGCCATCTTCACATATTTCAAATGTTTAATTTTACACATTAGAAGATGTACATTTCACTCCTATGTCAAAATTACCTCACAGTGGAGTATTAGAACTGAAAACAGACCAAAATCTTAATAGCATATGAAACAAAGGCAGGCTATGAATATAACATCTGATAATCAGGCGGCCCTAAAATCATAGAGCATATTATATAATGCAGTTAAACAGTATCTGTATGTATATATGGTAACAGCAGAAAATGTTCAATAAATAAATAAAATACATCTGGTAAAAAGATGGTAAGAAACTTATTACTGTGCCAGAAATTGGCAGATGAGATGGTGGGTGTGGCTGAAGGAAGCATACCAAACAGTACCTGGTTTATTGGCCAGCTCTCGCCATACATTTTTTTTCTTTTAATCTTTTGATCAGAGAAGTGGGAAACTAGCCAGTTTTTGACAACTTGCCAATGACTGTCAAGCATATGAATCTATCCAAAAATATGGCAATGAATGACTGTTAGACAATAGACAGGGGTTTAAAAATGCTAATGGCTATATGCTTAATGTGATTTGTGTTCTCTAGACTCTCTTCATATGTGGCTATTACCTTTTTACAGTATGCTTACAGTTTTGTGCTACACATGTGCATTTCACAATGGCATTGGTAAGCCTGATGTTTGAGTACAATTCATGTTGGCAGCTTCTTATATTGCTTGAAATGCATATATTTTGGCAAAGATATATTGTGACGTGGTCAAATTAAGCTATTTCACCCCGACAATTCAGTTCGGCCATCTCAAAACAGTGAAGTTACTGTTGCCCTTCATAGATATTACATATTTACTGCTATAATTCTATTATTTCTTGAAGAATGTACTGAGTTATTTTCAATAACTGAAATATCTAATTAATTAGCAATCCCAATAAAAGATGAAATATACATCTTCATGCAGAGCTTGTCCACAAATTTCCTGAAAAATTATTTTAACAAAAAACATATATTTCATGTAACAAATCAGCCTACTAAAGTAACTTTTCATCAGAAAGTATTATCATAACTTCCTATTAGTGTCTTTTATATAAAATGGGAACATTTAGTTTATATTTTTCTCTTTTAATTTGTTTTTAAAACTAATGTGGATTGACTTTTAGCCTGCCACATTTTGTTCCAATAAGTTGGAATGTTTAGCTCCTGTAAATATTGTCAGCCACCAATGTGGTATCAGAAGTCTATGTATATTGATGTGGTCTGAAGTCTTTTAATGAAGTTTTTTTAAAGCATACAACTGTAAATATCAACTTTTTAGCTTCATAGATAATAAAAAAACTAAACTAAACTAAACTAAACTTAACCCCAATCATCCAGATGATGATATGAACATATCTTCTTGGAAAAATTTGGCTAAGGGTCTGGGTGAGGGGAATTTACCATTATGAGAATTTCGGCAGAAGGCTGGGATGACAGGAATGAGTTGCCATGAGTGCACAAAGCTCTTGGAGGATGATTAGACCTCAGTGGACATTTAGGAAGGGGCTGTGCATTATTTCCATCAATAAACGAGTGTGGAATGTAAGCCATGACTGGAAGAGCACTAGCCCCATGGAGGATACTCTTTCCATGCTCAGAATCCTATTGTAAAATTTAACATTACGAAAAAAACAACAAAAAAACACAAACAAAAAAAACATTACTCGTTACTTCTACTCTACAGATCTATGGACAATCTTGGGAGATGATATAGAGTCTGTGTAACGAAAATAATCTATTCCCATCTTGATACACCATATCAAATGGCAAATCTAGATTTTGGAAAAGGGCAAAAAAGCAAAATATGCTTATGCTAAAAAAGATATACCATTGCAAAAAGGAGGCAAGGAGTCTTAACACGAGTATTCATGTGCACCCTGCCTACAAGCCGCATGAGGTCAGCGAAGCACCCAGGGTTAATCTTATTCCATTTCCCTGTCTGCATGAATATGCACAACTGTTTCCATAGGTAAAAGTATTAATTTCGAATTACTCACCTTATTCAACACAAACACTAAGTGTTTATGAGGTTTCTCTGTTCTCATGTACTTCTCAATCAGTTTGGACCTTGTTCCCATGGGGTCTCGGGCATCCAGGACCTGTATCACTACATCTGAAGAGTCAATCACCTTGTACAGCTCATTCCAAATACGCTTACTCTGGCCAGCCTAAGTGAAGAAAAGTATTAAAGAAATTAACATACAAAATGTAAATAATTGAACACCACCCCCCTCCCGAAAAAGTACTGAAAATGGTTTACCAAAAAATAGTTACTCAATGTACATGATACACAAAAGTGGAATATGAAATATAAAAGATCTGTAAACCTAGATTTTAGGTGTGACACTTACCTTCATGAACCATTCTGGTGGCAGGTCTTGACTGTCTGGCTCCTCTCGCACAAGATCACCATCCTTTTCTTCATCATAATTTTCCAGCATATCATCAGCTTTTTTGGCAAAGTCTGCAAAGTTCTCTATCTGAAAGAATTGTACAAGAACCTTGATTTATACTTTCATCAGTAAGGACTCTACATCATGAAAGCAATATAGAGGAAGAAGAAAGGGTATACCCACTACTATGGCTTACCGTTATATGACGCTTACCCTGATTAGTGCTACAATGCTTCTCCTAAAGATACTTCACTAGAATTCTAAATACAATGAAAAATTAAGGACACAAATTCTATGCCTTCAAAATTTTCTCATAAAATATCAAAACCTGAACTCAAAATGAACATTCAAAAATTTCATTTCTCTTTTTCAACACTCCTTTTTCTGATACATTCACTAAAATTGTAATTCATATAACAGTTACAGAAAATGACAAGAGTGTCATCTGGTTAGGTGATGATGATATGCCCCTGTCATAATACTGACTGTAGCTGTGCCATACAGTTTAGACATCAATCTGTGATAATTGACATTAGTAACTGAATTGTACCTGCATGACAATTCTGACAGAAGAGGGAGGGAGAGAAAGTAGAGAAGAGGAGACATATGCACAATAAAGCGGGAGTGTGTGGAGCAAAAAGCAGCAGAAAGGGGAGAGAAGTGGAGGAGCCAGAGAAGACTAAGATAAGATATATGTGTATGTATAAAACACACACACGTGTGTGTATGTATGTATGTATGAATGTATGAATGCATGCATGCATGTATGTGTATGTATGTGTGTATATATATGTGTATATATGTGTATATATGTGTATGTATGTGTATATATATGTGTATATATGTGTATATATGTGTATATATGTGTATATATATGTATATATATGTGTATATATATGTGTATAGGTACATTATATATATATATATATATATATATATATATATATATATATAGATAGATAGATATATATATATATATATATATATATATATATATATATATATATATATATATATATATATATATATATATATATATATATATATATATATATATATATAAGTAAGTAAAATAAAGCACTGACAGAAAAATCAAATCCAAACCTTACCTTAAAACTAGGCTTTTTCCTTGTCTTCTTATTTCCAAACACTGACTCATAAGGCTCAGTGTCCAAGATGTGAACGCGTGCATTCTTGGCCTTCTCGTTGAGCAGAGATATGGGCAGGGTTGTCTTACGCATAATCACCTGTTGCACACAGAACGCAATGTCTTTGATAATTTTGCAGGAACTGAGTTGTCCTTACCTAGGACTTTACTGTCTGTATTCTTTCACACAATGTTATGAATAGCAACTAGTAGAACTATGACCTTCAACTATACATAAACCCTTTGGAAATAAGTTGGCTAACCGTTTCTGATTTCAACTACAAAGAAACTGAAGTTTATATATTTGTAAAAAACAGTGTATATATGACATACATACACAAGCAAAGAAACAACATTTTACAGCTCATCTTCCATTTCTGCAAAATCAAGTTATATGGGTTGAAATGGGCCAATCAATTCAATAATTAAACCAATATGAAAATACAGGATCCCATAGGCCTTCTAATAAACAAATTCAAAGACCAAGACTGGATTAAAAAGTCCCCATTCCACTCATGATAAATGATAATAGAGAGAAAATTAAAGATGACAAAACAAACAAAACCAAATCTATATAAAAATGAGGGAAGAAACAGGACGGAAAGAAGACCAAGACAAGAGAATAAGAAAAGCCTCTCCTCCAACTAAGGAAAGCAAAACTGCCCTGGTACCTGGTAAGGATCCCTCATGACCTTCCCCATCTCTTCCTGGAACTTCTGTAGGGACTGCTGGCCAATGACCTTTGTGTTCCCGAACCACTTCTGGTTGGGCTCCACACGGGCTTGTGTTCCTGTGGTTGGGTGGAGCAATTAGAAGCATTATGAGTAATATTATAACAAATGTTATATTGATTATGGTAGTGAACTGAAGTCAATATCCCAATCACAAAAAACACTTATCCCTTATCGATACAGAAATAAACATATAACACGTTACATGCATCTTTATCAAGAATACTACCTAAATCCACATTCCTTAAAGAAAATGAAAATAAAGCAATCCCAATATACAAACCTGGGGCCACTGTGTTCTGGAAAGCTGCTGCCTGGACCATGCGACCTTTCCTGTTGTACCTGGCCTTGCCGCTTCGGTACATTCTAAGCCGTTTGATTGTGCTTCTGTCTCTTGCGTGGGGTGCGCCATTTAGCTTTACCTAGTGTGTGAAGGAAAATAAAAAATGTAAAGAAGGGAACATGTTCATGAAAAAGAAGGGGAGGGATGAAGGAAAAAGAAAAGTGAGAATCTTTATTAACATTTTTGCTATCATCTAATTAAATTCAAAACAGTTGGAGACATCTTAAATGAATTATAGTTTAATACTTCTGTTCTAGTGACAAGTTCTAAAAATCATAAAAATAAGTAAAAGAACTGAAGTACATTAGTCTTCCTAAAATGAGTAAAGAAAATACAAATATAAAAAAAAACATAAAATCTTCTCTATTTCTCCTCATTTTTCTCCCTCTTCTACTCTTGCTCCCTCCCTGTCTCTCTATCCCTGACACCTTAGAATATACACTATTATCTTTTCTAAAGGATGCATGACTTACTTTGTCTGCTGGTCGATCTGGGTTCATGGAATGCCCGCCCTTTTGAAAGCCTTCTTTCTTCTTTGCTCTTCTCACTGTTTTTCGCCATTTTGAAGTGGTCCTAGTTTACCTCTAGAAATTGAAGAACAAGTAATAATGATAAGAATTCAAAAGAGAGACAGGTTTGCACATACAAATGTAAATGCATGTACACATTCACACACATGTGCATGCACACACATACACACACACACACACACACATACAAGTGTATCCACTCCACCATCTGTCTATCCATATCAGTACAAGAATAACCATCAATACTATTATCATTCTACTGCTAGGCAAGATTCCTGGCTATCAAGACTACACCATAAAATAACATTGCAAAGGGCAGGCATAGGGGTCTTGTCACCACACAAATATTCCTGTGCGCCCGCCCTAAAAGCCACCTGTCAGTAAGCCTAATGCCTGTATTTTGGGCTACCTGGAGATCCATGGGGTTAATCCTTAGTGCAGTTTGCCTCTTTTTTATGTTTATGAATCCTTTTCCTCAATGACAATGGGAATTGTTCACAGATACAGAAAAATACCTAGAGTTACATTCACTACTATATACATTAAACTTAAAGAAGCTTCACCCAGGCAAATTTCGATCTTTGGCACTTGAGCTTAATTTCATGCACAAGATAATGTATATCATTGCCATATCTCAAATACGAGTGTCAGTGTTACATAGATAAAACTCCAATAAAATTACTAAATAGTTTTGAACTTGGGAAATACTAGCAATAAACTTATCCCCAGCATTGTGTTTTCTGTGTACATGCGTGACCTACCAGCAAGTATGTACATTACAAATGCTCTCTCCTGCCTGATACTAATTAAAGCAGCAGCATCAATTAGGAAGTCATATCATTGACCTTATTACTAAAGGTTGCATAAGGATTCAAGGTAACATAGTTGGTGACAAACATGGGATTACCATAAATCAAGAGCAATGAATTATATATCACTGGTCAATTCTGTATTGTATTGAGGAATTAAACACAACAGTCAGCAGGATGCAAAGTCCAAAAAATTATAACAGTTACCCACCATGTATTGGGGAGGGATTGCAATGAAGCAATTAAATATATACAAAATCATTATTTTACCACCTAAAGGAACAAAATGTTCATTTAACTATATCTATAGGTTTCTAAACAAATAAACAGTAAAAAGACAATGATATACCAGGAGGTACTTCTGTGATATAAGAGTATGGCATGTGGAGGGGGTTTGTTGGATGAGGAAAAGATCTATGGTTTGGCTGGATGAAATATGCCACAAAGCATTAGCATGACTACCTTACACTCTCTAGATTTCATTCACAAGCAATAGAGGCAAGAAAATATGACTTGACATGGGATAAGGATAAGGATAAGTCCGATTTGCGAAGCTGAGCCTCGCCCGGGCTATGGGGGAGCCCAGCCTGTGCCGACTAATGTCGACTCGCTATCAGTGTGTCAGCAGATGCTGACTCGGGTGAGCTTAGTCCTTACCCACCGTGATGCCCAGCTACAGCAGTAACCTCCAGGCGACAATTGCAACTTCTCGCGCCTGGGCGGGGTGCGAACCGCCGACCCCTCGGATGAGAGGCCGACACGTTACCACTGTACTAGCCCGGAGGCTCTTGACATGGGAGTGAAGGAATGAGGGGTGATACTATGGGTGTGGCTGATGGCAATTTGCCAAATAGTACCACATACATTACTGGACACTCTGTTCACCTCATTCGTAATGAAAAAAAAGTTACAAGAAAACTCTGACCACTTTCTAAAGGCCTGTTATTATTATGGTGAACTGGCCTGTGCACATATTCAGTGACAAGCAGATAAAACATTTTGTATTAATTAGTGGAAACCGCATATATTTTGCAAGGTTTCCAATCCAACTCAATCTAAGTTTTTACACATAATGGTACAGGATTTTTAAAATGTTTGGCATAAAATTAATGTAAGTGAAATTACCTTACATCTTTTAGCCAGTAACTATAGTAGACTATAGTGTTATCATCAATAAGCCCAGGTCTCTACATTTACACTGTATTAACAGATACTTGAGTCAGTTTGGACTGTCATTTTCAATGATGGCATTAAACTCGTGGTATATAGCATAAAATCTGTCTTGGGAAACTCTGTTATAAATCATACAAGGCTCCTGCCCTCAGCAGCCACTCTGAGTGGTCTGGCATGGGCCAATACCTCCAATAATTCACCACCACATACATTCTATCAAGATAAAGCTTGTAGACCTTGCAAGCAACTTATTGTCAAATTGAAAAAAAAAAAAAAAAAAACATAAAATTTTCTCTATTTCTCCTCATTTTTCTCCCTCTTCTACTCTTGCTCCCTCCCAGTCTCTCTATCCCTGACACCTTAGAATATACACTATTATCTTTTCTAAAGGATGCATGACTTACTTTGTCTGCTGGTCGATCTGGGTTCATGGAATGCCCGCCCTTTTGAAAGCCTTCTTTCTTCTTTGCTCTTCTCACTGTTTTCGCCATTTTGAAGTGGTCCTAGTTTACCTCTAGAAATTGAAGAACAAGTAATAATGATAAGAATTCAAAAGAGAGACAGGTTTGCACATACAAATGTAAATGCATGTACACATTCACACACATGTGCATGCACACACATACACACACACACACACACAAGTGTATCCACTCCACCATCTGTCTATCCATATCAGTACAAGAATAACCATCAATACTATTATCATTCTACTGCTAGGCAAGATTCCCGGCTATCAAGACTACACCATAAAATAACATTGCAAAGGGCAGGCATAGGGGTCTTGTCACCACACAAATATTCCTGTGCGCCCGCCCTAAAAGCCACCTGTCAGTAAGCCTAATGCCTGTATTTTGGGCTACCTGGAGATCCATGGGGTTAATCCTTAGTGCAGTTTGCCTCTTTTTTATGTTTATGAATCCTTTTCCTCAATGACATTGGGAATTGTTGGATGAGGAAAAGATCTATGGTTTGGCTGGATGAAATATGCCACAAAGCATTAGCATGACTACCTTACACTCTCTAGATTTCATTCACAAGCAATAGAGGCAAGAAAATATGACTTGACATGGGATAAGGATAAGGATAAGTCCGATTTGCGAAAGCTGAGCCTCGCCCGGGCTATGGGGGAGCCCAGGCCTGTGCCGACTAATGTCGACTCGCTATCAGTGTGTCAGCAGATGCTGACTCGGGTGAGCTTAGTCCTTACCCACCGTGATGCCCAGCTACAGCAGTAACCTCCAGGCGACAATTGCAACTTCTTCGCGCCTGGGCGGGGTGCGAACCGCCGACCCCTCGGATGAGAGGCCGACACGTTACCACTGTACTAGCCCGGAGGCTCTTGACATGGGAGTGAAGGAATGAGGGGTGATACTATGGGTGTGGCTGATGGCAATTTGCCAAATAGTACCACATACATTACTGGACACTCTGTTCACCTCATTCGTAATGAAAAAAAAGTTACAAGAAAACTCTGACCACTTTCTAAAGGCCTGTTATTATTATGGTGAACTGGCTTGTGCACATATTCAGTGACAAGCAGATAAAACATTTTGTGTTAATTAGTGGAAACCGCATATATTTTGCAAGGTTTCCAATCCAACTCAATCTAAGTTTTTACACATAATGGTACAGGATTTTTAAAATGTTTGGCATAAAATTAATGTAAGTGAAATTACCTTACATCTTTTAGCCAGTAACTATAGTAGACTATAGTGTTATCATCAATAAGCCCAGGTCTCTACATTTACACTGTATTAACAGATACTTGAGTCAGTTTGGACTGTCATTTTCAATGATGGCATTAAATTCGTGGTATATAGCATAAGATCTGTCTTGGGAAACTCTGTTATAAATCATACAAGGCTCCTGCCCTCAGCAGCCACTCTGAGTGGTCTGGCATGGGCCAATACCTCCAATAATTCACCACCACATACATTCTATCAAGATAAAGCTTGTAGGCCTTGCAAGCAACTTATTGTCAAATTGAAAAAAAAAAAAACAAAAAAAACTACCTGATAAAGAAATAAAGTGCCTGCAACAGATCTTTTGAAATTCATCCTTCTTTGGTAATAAATTGACAACTGCTTTTCAGTTCAAACTGGTATACACTAATTTAGAAAGAGACTCATTTATTGGGAAAATCGGATTCATGGACATTTAATCTTTCAAGAGACAATAACCAATGAAAGCTACCCGTAAGCTGATTGGCAATCACATGCAAAGACAGCTTAATGTTGCTTATTAATTGGAGCATTGTGAAGTTCAGTTATCCGCAGCAGTTCAGATCTGGATCTTATATTGTAAAGATGTATGGTGGACTGCTATAAGTTACAGGACATACATTAACAATACACCCTGGAGGTATATCATCAAATAGGGAAACAGTACAAGATATATCCTGAAAGAATATATGTAACCTTCATACCATAGTGGCAGCACCCTTCATCTCCCCTGGGAGAGGACCTACTTTGTACATTTCTTCAAATTTGACCCCATTATTCCCCTAGTAACTTACACCTACTCTACTATCAGGGTCAAGTTTATGGAGTAAGGGGAGGGGAGATTTCCTGCCTGTAATAGCATGACAGATATTAAGACACTTTTCATCTATGATATTTCCTTATCAAGTTGATAAGATAGTTGTGAACCATGGAATACTTAAGTACACATTTACAAGAAAATCTAATGACACCATCTTAAGGAAAAGGAATAAAAATATGCCTACTGATACATGAAATAATCTATGAAGGCTAATCAACATTAGAAAGCAACAAAATAGGTTGAGAGAAATGCCACATGGAGAGTAAGTCCATGGCAATAAGGTAGGGGTGTGGGTGCAAAGCTCTTTGGTTCATGTGGTGATGTTTGTGGATCCACAGGAGTGGCTGACGTAATAGGAATGAAGTCACACAAAAACAATTACTAAAGGTTTCACCTAATGAAGTTACTATATTTATGGTACTGTAATACAATGTCTATTGATCATTTTAATGGTCACGCATGCACAGTGTGGAATTCTCACTCTACCCACAGCTGGGTAGAGTGCCCGACCAACACATGGGAGCATCCAGGGTGCATTCTGTGTAAAACTCATGCCAATAGCTCATCGAGTGTACGCCAACATTCCCGATAAGAGATGGCCATCTCCCTAAGTGGTCCCAGGCCTCCATCATTAAGCAAGGCCTCACCCACGGCAAAGGAAGATGGTAGAAGTGGCATACATACACTCAACTAACAACTCCAACACCGCTACAGGGAGCCACGAACTAGCCAAGGTCGTCGCTCACCTGATCACCAACGTGACCTGACAGCCTAGTACATGTATATATACTTCCATGTATCTCTTGTTATGTATGCCCTGACGAAGCAGTAAATGTATTACGATATAGTAAATTCAGCCACAGCCTTCACCTAATCATTTGCAATGGAAAACAACAGGAGATTCACACATATTACACCATAAATAATTGAAACAATTAATAGTAACGAAAGTTGGAAGACTGTATGAAACTAAACATTACCAAAACTTTATCCAGGACAATTGCAACCGTCTCAAAATGATCAAATCTATTAATAAACACAAAAATACGAATGGCAGAGTGGCCGGGTCATTGAGCCGACCCTAAGTAAGATTTTCCCTAAAGACAAAATACAAACGACCTCTAATATATAATAACATATTGATACGAAGTAACATTATCGTGATAATCTGACGAAATAGACGGTTTACAATCAGAAAAATAATTATATAATGAAAACCTCGACACGTTCCTCCATTAAACTTTATGCCGACTAAACAACCCATCAACTTTAATAAATATCAATTTACGACTACCTACCGACTCATATAAGTGATTTCCCCATACCCAAATACACTCAATATTAAACTACATGCGAAATACTCACAATGAAGAAAAATATGATAGCCCAAAATTTCCAGCTTTTATTTCTGTTTACAATGTTTACTACACGTGTTATTAGTGTCAAAGTCTCTCAATAGATGGCGTGCAGACGATAACCCAATTTTCAGTGGAATTTGTTTCCTATATTTCTACCACAGTTGCTTATAACCATTTTTGTTTTGATGTTTGATGATATTTATATTTTCGGTGCGTTTGTTAACTATTATTAGATATTTTTACACGGATCTATACCATTAAGTTCGTCTCAATATTTTGACGTCTAAATTTCAGTTGAACCCATTACCTTTCCATTCGTATTTCGTAGTATTTATCTTTTTATCGCCTGTATAATTTTATTGCGTAAATAGATATTGAAGTAATATTCATGTAATAAATATTAACATCAAAATTCTAACTTCAAACCGTATAAGTTTAAATAACCAGTAACTTAGAAAAGGTATGAATGAGAATGAATATCTTCACAATACAGAAAGATATTCATTCTCATTCATACCTTTCCTATATTTGTCATCATGATTATGGTTCAATCAGTAATTAATAATTGATTATTGACAAATAATACTGAGTAATCAATATGAAATATTACCATTAGTAACTATGTTGGTAGATGATTATTGATATATACTTTTATGAAAA